TAGATTACAAATACCCGAGGCTAACAAAAAAAGTCTGCTGAATCGCTTTTAAACACTATGAACCTACAGATTCTTACAGAAAAAGTTCTAGCCTTGATATTTATGTGGAATTCTACTGAAAACTAGATACGATAAGAAATTAATAGACTCTCATTGGAATTTACTATTCCTTAAACCAGATTTTTTTCACTCTCAAAGCAAGCCACTACTGCTGACAATGTTTCTGTCTGCTAGAAGCCTCATGTCTGTCTTTAACTTTATCACGTACAAATACTACACCTATATTCACATTCAGAGACTACACGTTCTCAGAATGAAAGAGAACGAGTTATCTCAGACAGTTTATTAGTCATATTGGTTCTTTCGAGTAATGTCAATACTTACAAAAATGGCGCCCTTATTTTGAGGCAGTTTTGTTAATGTAAAAGGAAATAAAGATGTGTACAGAAAAAAAAAAAAAACAGATTTACTGTCCATGCCACTGTAGTGTTTTTTCATGGTCTCTTAAACTCCCCAGACTGCCATGATGCCACCTTCACTGCACTTAGGCACTTAGGCCAGCTGTTAAGAAGAAAACAAAAGCAAGCTTTGGTGAGGACGTGCAACAAAAGCGACACTTGGACATTGTGGATGGGAGTGCAAATTAGTAAAGCTATTGTGGAGAACAGTAAGGTGGTTCATCAAAAAACTAAAAACAGAACCAGCAATCTGATTACTGGGTATCTAACCAGGGAAAATGAAGTCACACTGAAGGGACATCTGCATTGCGATGTTTATTACAGCACTGTTCACAATAGTCCAGAAATGTAAAGAGCCCTAAGTATCTAAACACTGGTGAGGGATAAGGAAAATGTGGTTCATATACACAATGGATTAATACCAGGCCATAAAAAGGATAGAAACCACATGGATGCGAACGGATATTGTTAAGTGTCATAGGGAAGCACAGAAAGACAAGCATCACCTGATCTCGCCCTCACGTGATGTCTAAAACAGTGCAACTAGAATTCTTTGCTGCTCCCTGCCAGTGCGCCTGGGAAAGCAGTTAAAGATGTCCAATTCTTAGGTCCCTGCCACCTAGGTGGGAGACCAAGATGGAGTCCCAGCTCCTAACCTCGGCCGAAACCAGCCCTGGCTGTTATGGCCATGTGGAGAATGGATCAGCAGATGAAGAGCAATCAAGCAATCAATCTCCATCTTTGGGCTTTTCAAAAGAACAAATGAATACATAAATTTTTTTAAGATCTATTATTTCTTTATTTGAAAAAGTGACAGAGAGGGAAGGAAAGACACAGAGTTCTTCAAACTACTGGTTCAATTTAAGTGGCTACAACAAGCAAGGGCTGAGCCAGGCCAAAGCCAGGAGCCAGGAGCTTCACTGAAGTCTCCCACATGGGTGCAGGAGGCCAAACACTTGGCACATCAGCTGTGCTTTGTCCAGGCCATTAGCACGGAGTTGAGCTGGAAGCAAAGCAGCCAGGACATGAAGCAGCACCCCTATAGCATATGCATATTGTAGGTGGCAGCTTTACCTGGTATGCCATAATCGCAGCCTCCAAATAAATTTTTTTTTAAATGAATAAATACAAAGTACAGTGATGGTTACCAGAAGGTGGGAAAGGGGAGGGAGAAATGGTGAAAACAATTTTCTCCTAAAGGTAGTATTAACACTTTTCATTTACAGATGAAAAAGGAGGATATCTGAGATAATCCCTTGTACAATGACCAATTATGAAGGACTCACTAATGTGCTATTTTCCCAGAGACACAATTCTAGGATATTTTAATTGTTATACAAATGTCATTAACATAAATTCCAAGACAAAATAAAATCTTGTCAATTCTCATCCTTTCAATCTTGTTCTATTGTTTGAAATACATGGTAAATTTGCTACCCCTGTACAATATGCCACTATTTTTCTAGTATGTGAGACTAACAACATATAGCCCCACAAGAGCCGTTTCCACACAGAGAAAGATGGTGAGACAGATTTAGTAGCCTGTTTAAATATTGGCCACAGGGGAAGAATAGCATTCCTCGACATCTGATTAAAGTTTATTTATAGCGTATCACAATCAATGCAAAGAGCAAAACAGCATCCTAGTACAAAAGATAAAGTTCACCTGGTCTTCTCAATCCCTATCAAAAATGTTGGAATCTGAGGGCACTGCATTATCTATTTTGTTGACTTCTTCCTCGATGATACCTCTCAAATCCAACTGGTCTTTGCTCTTGCATTTCCTTCTCTCTTTTACAAATTCAGAGTACCTTCACCTACAGTATTTCCAGCTGCCTTTTCAAAGGCCTGTTGCCATTAGTAATATTTGCAATATTACTGAAAGAATCCCACTATCCATATCCACATATCAACTCAAAGGCATCACATCCTTTAGTATGCTAATTCATTAGATCACATCTCACTTCGCTGTACACGTGTGATCTGCTGTTAAAATCCCTTGACAGAATTCTTGTTTGAGGAAAACAGCAGAACTGACTTTTCCCTATTCTTCCACTAACTACACTTACAAACCCTGGATGCTGTATTTAAAACAAGCACATGACGAACTTGAAAGGTGCTGTGGAGAACCTCAGAGAAGGAACTTCAAAACCCAAAAAAACAATTCAGCAGGGTTCTCTGACTTGTCTTGGATCCTGGAGTAGCTGACAATCCAGAAATGCTAAGGGCTATAGAAAATAAAAAGCCTTAGCACAAGTCCGTTCTCTTATCCAAAGGATCAACAAAGAGGCAGTGTAGCAAGACAGAAAACGAATGCTCTACACCAGCCAAAACTACTGAAGAAAACTAGGGTCCACACAGCAGAGGCTGACTGAGATACCCTTGACAAGCTGCATGATAAACTCAGAAAGCCTACAGGCTGGTGTCGAGAAGGCACCCCACAAATGTTGATACCATCACTCCCATCCAACAGTAAGGCGGCAGCTGCCCCTGCCACTAACTGGAGTGGTATCACGGGGGCCCCACAGAGAGTGACAACCTTCAGCATTGCCTAGCAAAATGTAAAGGTCCTACAGCCTTCCCTGTGGTGTCAGTGGAGGTGAGGGGAGGGGGGAATAAGGTCTGTCTGCGTGCATCTACTGCTACATTCTCCTTTACTTGTCACTCAAATCACACCCTCCTTTGCTCTTGGACGCTTGATGTCTACTTGATCCAGCTGATATTATTCAAACAAAACTACCCCTGCTAAAGTCAATGATAATCCTCCAACTGAAAAAAATACAAACTCACTAATTTTTTGATTTACTGAGTCTCATCTCTTGCACTGCTTGTTAATCCTGAATGAGGACTGAGACTTTTTCTTTCTAAATTTCCAAATGCTCGTTTCATTCAGAATGCAAATGCTTAAGTCCCATATGCGCTCCTTGGGCACTCTTCATTTTCAGCCATTCTATCTACATGTCACAGAGCACAAGCCTTTCTTACAAATATCTGTGTCCTTAATCTGTTTCTACAGTCATGTGAAAGTCTCACACAAAACCCAGACATCACAGATAACCACCAGTCTGGAATTCTGCATCCTAATCCTGCCTATCAACAAACCTATTTTCTGATATTCCTAATGATCCCGCCATCCTAAACTCTCCTTTCCTTATCCTCCATACCTAATATGTTTCTACATTTCTTCCATTCCTCTGACTCCTTCCTGAGCTTTGACCTTCTGCCAACTCCCTCATTTAGTTCCAATCTGATCACCTATTAATTGTCTAACTCCTGAATTTCATCATACTGTTTATACTGACTACAGGTTAATTTTACTGCATCACAAATTTGATCACATTGCTAATGCAGCTCAATTTCTTCCTTGGCTCCATTTTGCTTTCAGAAAAAAAGTCTAACATTCTGAGCATAGTATGTATTTCCTTAAGCCTATCCCCATTTTTCCATGTGCATCTCCCACAGCTTACCTTTCTCTGGTCTTGCTGAGATAGCTGGTAACCCCAAATGTGCCATGTTTTCTGACTGTACCTGAAACGAGTCCCCGCCTCCTGGAACGTGGCCTTCCCACTGATCTCTCCCCCAGCACTGTCCTGCCCTCACCTTGGACACTATGGTTGCCCTCTTGAATTACTAGAGTCTGCAATGACGATTATATTCATTTCTAATTTTTTCTAGCACACCAAGTATTCCTTGACTACAAGAATTCTGCCTTGTTTCATCGCTACATCACTTATGTTTGGTGAGGATGCAGGGAATGTAATAATGTAAAATAACTTTATTATGTTCAATATGTTGTCTCTACTCAGGCTCTTTTAAATAAAATAAAAGCAACTGTACAGTTGCCCTTGAATCACAACCCAATTCCCTTTCAACATCCAGACTAATTTATCTGCCATTATCAGTACCGTATTGATCTAAACACACAACAGTTCTTTTTGGCCTCACAACAGAATGTGAACTTTGAAAACATAGAAACGTTACTCCTATATTCCATAAGGATTTATAGCATAATTACATCATAAATACTTACTGTATTATTTACATACACATATAAATTATTACATGTCTCTAGGAGCCTGGTCTTAAAAATGAACAGAAAAGGAGCCAGCACTCAGACATAGTAGGTCAAGCCTCTGCTTGTGGTGCTAGTTCATCCAGGTGCTAGTTCAAGTGCTAGCTGCTCCACTTAGATCCAGCTCTCTGCTAACATGCCTGGGAAAGCAGCAGAACACAGCCCAACTGTCTGGGCCCCTGCACCCATGTAAGAGACCCAGAAAGAAGCACCTGGCTCCTGGCTTCTGACCAGCCCAGCTTTAGCTATTGTGGCCATTTGGGGAGTGAACCAGCAGATGGCAGAGTTCTCTGACTTTTCTTCTCTCCGTGTAAAACCACCTTCATATAAAAGTAAACTAATTAAAAAGAAAAAAACTGAACAGAGAAATGGGTTGATATCAGATTAAGCTTTTAAAACAAAGTACTGTAAGCCTATCATCCTTTCAAATAATATACTGAAGCTCAGTTCTGACAGCCTTCCAGACCAACCTTAGTCTTGTTGAACATTCCCCCTCTTCTCTGGCGACCCAGCCAACATCAGCGAAAGAGGCCACTGCATCCTCTCCTGGGCTGGGGCTCCATTCTGCTGTCTGGCTGGTGAGCTGTAAGTTATAAAGAGGAAAAGTTCTTTATCTGGCATGAAATCTTTTGACTTTTTAATTCACCTAAATGAAAATCATCAGCTGTAGTATTAGAAACACATGAGTGATTTCTACATTTCCATTAAAGAGCTCCACGAATCAAATCATGAGTCATACACAATTTGTAAAGGATAATTTACCTCTATTCAATTTTTGATTTCGCTAGTTAACTTAGAAAATTCTATCTTAAAATGGAAAAATTTTGCAATCCAAGCATCAGAAACTTTGTTCTGAAGTGATGCAGTTTTAAAAAAATAAAAGAAAAAGAAACAAAGAAAAAAAATTTGTAAGAAAAACCAATGACAATCTGTGTTAAAACTAGGAATATTTTTAAATGACCACAATATGTCCATGTTGTAGTGTGGTATACATAAGTGTGTATATTATTATATTGTTATACTATTTAAATATTTTTTAAATTCCCTAAAGGAAATTCTATCAAACATAAACACATGGCGGAAGGGAAGGAATATTTGGAAATAAAAACAAAAAAAATAGCATGTATGACCTGAAAAGAACTGGAAAAACAATTTAACAAGAATAAAGTTGATTTTATTATATGTATATTTCAGTCAGATGGCCAGAAAAAATAGTTTTAACATAAGAATTACCAAATTAATATACTTCTTCCTAAAACTTATAATGAATCTTAAATAAAAAAGAAAAACAACTCAAGCTTACACTGGGGAAAAAAAGTAAAAGGTCAAAAAAATGTGTTTAGTGTGACTGTGAAGACTCTACTGGCTAATTTTCTGCCTGCAATCAGCAGCATCCCACACGGGTACCAGTTTGTGTCCCAGCTACTCTACCTCCCATCTAGCTCCCTGAGTGTGACCTGGGAAAGCAAAGGAGGATGGCCCAAAGCCTTGGGACCCTGCCACACAAGGAAGACCCAGAAAGAGCTCCTTGTTCCAGCTCAACTCCGGCCATTGCAGCCATTTGGAGAATGATCCAGTGGATGGAAGATGTGTCAATCTGTCTTCATGACAAAAATAAGTAAATTCCTTTAAAAAGGTAAATTCACTTGGTAATATGTTTAGTAGGAAGGTGCTACTGGGGCCCCCTGCATTGTTCAAATCTGTGCTTTCTTTGCCAAGTTACACTTAATGCTGCTTCCTTAAATGCAAAATACACCCATCAAAGACATAACACTAACATAGGTGAAGATTAAAATAATTTTAAGGTAGTTTTAAGAATAAAAATCCCCGCCATGGTAGCATAACAGTTAAAGTCTTAGCCTGGAATGTGCCGGCATCCCAATGGGTGCCAGTTCTAATCCAGGCTGCCCTGCCTCCCATCCAGCTCCTTGCTTGTGGCCTGGGAAAGCAGCAGAGGACGGCCCAAAGCCTTGGGACCCTGCACCCACGTGGGAGACCTGGAAGAGGCTCCTGGCTCCTTACTTCAAATTGGCTCAGCGCCAGCTGTTGCAGCCACTTGGGAAGTGAACCACTGGACAGAAGATCTTCCTCTGTCTCTCCTCCTCTCTGTATATCTGCCTTTCCAATAAAAACAAATAAATCTTTAAAAAAATAAAATAAAAATTGAACCAAAGTTTTTTTCTGTATACTGTCACAGTATATCAAAATCAGCAATAAATGGATCAAGGACCTAAATCTACACCCAGAAACCATCAAACTATTAAAGAAAAACATAGGAAACACTCTCCAAGATACAGGAACAGGGAAAGACTTCTTACAAAACACACCAAAAGCAAAGGCAATCAAAGCCAAAATGAACAAATGGCACTACATCAAACTAAAAAGCTTCTGCAGAGCAAAGGAAACAATTAATAAAGTGAGGAAACAACCAACAGAATGAAAGAAAATTTTTGCACGCTACACAAGTGATAGGAGACTAATATCCAGGATTACCAAAGAGCTTCAGAAACCCAGGGACAGTAAAAAAAACAAAAACAAACAAAAAAAACCCTGTGAAAAAATGGAATAGACATTGTTCAAAAGAACAGATTCAAGTGGCTAACAGACATATGAAAAGATGCTCAGGCTCCCTAGTCATCAGAGAGAGACAAATGAAAGCCATGTTGAGGTATCACTTAACTCCAGTGAGACTAGCCTACATTCAGAACTCAACTAACAACACCTGCTGGCATGAATGTGGGGGGAGAAAAGTACCCTTCTTCACTGCTGATGGGAATGTAGGCTAGTACAACCACTGTGGAAATCAGTATGGAGAGTTCTTAGAGAATTGCAAATAAATCTGCCATATGACCTAGCTATCCTGCTCCTAGGGATATACCCAATAGAAATGAAATCTGCATATGAGAAGGGGATCTGTAATCCTATATTTACAGCAGTACAATCTGCAATAGCAAAGACATGGAAACAATCCAGATGTGGTTAAAGAAACCGTGGTACATCTACTCCATGGAATATTATTCCGCTCTTAAATAGCATAAAATTATGTCATTTACAACTAGGTGATCCCAACTAGAGACCACTCAGTGAAATGAGTCAATCACAAAAGAACAAATACCGTATGTACTCTCTAATATAAGGAAATCATCACGGAAAGTGTAACTTCAGTAACCTGATCTATACTGCTTTTTTTTTTTTTTTGGCTGCATCCCATGTGTTTTGATGTTTTTAATTTCAGTTTCATTTATTCCAAATACTTTCTTTCCTCTTTCATATTCATCACTGGCTCATGGATTACACAGTGGCATCATTTTTCCCGAAAGACTTTTGTGTTTCCTTTTTGTCACCCATGTGTTGATTACTCAGTGGAATGTTTTTTCATGGTGCTATAATTTGCTGTTGTTGTTGTGGCTGTTGATCTAATTCATACCAGTTGTTGACCTTTTTTCATGGCTTCTCAGTTATGGAAATGTACAGTGATGGAGGACTGGGGTCTACCATATCCAGATGTGGGGGTACAATGCAACATGCATCCCTGCTTCCAGACAAAAGATGGATTCCCAATGAAACTGTTGGAAATGTGTAGACAATGAGATGCTGGATTATCTGACATTGTCTGTACCAGCAATGTTGGGGCACACTTAAATAATAGATTGATGGAATTATGACTCCTTATGAAGGACTATGCTATTGTAGCAACATGGGGAAAATCTATTGGGAGGGTGGGAGTTTGGAGGGGAATCCAGTATATATGAAATGGTACCACAAAATTCAAAAATTCAAACTAAAAACGTAACAAAAAAAGAATAAAAGTCAAACCAAAGTTATAAGTATTAGTAGGTGCACTCTTTTTCATATCAGTTGCATAACATTATTAACTGCACAAAAAGCATTAAAATGACATTTTAATAATTTACCAAGAAACTCAAGGATCTAATAATGACTCAATTATGGCCTTTGGGGAAGCCATGCTGGCAGGGAAGTGAAGCAGGAAATGAAATGTGTCTATAACTCTCAGGCAAAAACAGACATAACAATGAAATTAGGAAAAGAAACTTTCAAATATTTAACAAGTAAGTATCTTACATAACTTGATAATGGGTATTACATCTGATCAAGGATCTAAGTGCTCCAATTGTTCCTATCTGACGTTACAACTTCATACTTTCCCATGACAGTTATAAATATCACTTTTTCTTCTGAAATATTTATAGAGAAGTGAAGTACTATTTTCTAAGAATACATTCTCAAAGACAGAATAATTAATCCATTCTCAGAGCCTTCACAGGATCAACATATTTCAATATTACATGTGTAAGTACTTTATTCAATGACACAATAGGTTGTTTTTTGTACAAACTTTAATATAGCAAAAACAAAACTGTGGGGCTAGTATCATAGCACAGCACATAAAGCTGCTGTTGCAATGCCAACACCTTACATGGGCACTACTTCGTGTCCCCGTGCTCCACTTCAGATCTAGCTCTTTTCTAATAGGATGGGAAAAGCAAAACGGGAGATGGCCTAGGTGCTCATGTCCCTGCCACCTTTGTGGGAGACCTGGAAGAATCTCTGGGCTCCCAGCTTCCGCCCAGCTCTGCCCTGGCTGCTGCAGTCACCTGAGGAGTGTTTGCAAGTTCTCTGCCTCTCCCTCTTTCTAAATCTTAAAAGACAAGCACACAAAAAACATAACTACCCCCATGAACTTGGTTTTTAATATTAGTAAAGCTTTAGTTAGGCTCCACAATAATCTCACGTTCATGGTAAGTGCCCCCAGAGACAAAAATGTTAATGATGCTGTCACGATCTGCATCATTTCTACTTGATATCCTGCAACCAAAGTAGTTTTGATGTATGTATTCAGCTCATTCACAAGGCAAAATTTAAAAATAATTCTTTTTTTTTTTTTACACCTCATTCAGTTGTTCCTGAGGAAAGCATTCACTGAGAGACGTAAGCATGGAATGGGAAGGACAATTTCCAGGACAACCCACTCCATGAAGTGGAAGCCAAGCCAAGGCCAAGTCACCAATGGTAGGCGGGACTAAGAGCAAGTTGTTCCCGGAAGTATGATGCACACAGCACTACTGACATGCATGGATGACTGACGGCAGCTCTGGGAGAGAAAAGGTCAACTTACTGCAGGTTCCCAGCAAGGTCCTGTCCTACTAGGGCTATTGTTAGTAGGAAAGAAGACAAAAGGGAAGAGAGAAAAAAATTTTTAAATCATATTTCATCAAAATGAAAACTTAGTAGCACTGTATTTTCACACCTTTCGATGTTCACTTTAACATTTGAAACAATTTAAATTACCCTGAATACCACACTATTTCAGGAATCCTACAAAAGCAACTTTAGTCAATTTTAAATATTCCAGTAATGTAAAACTATACCAAGCAAACTGATTCATTTAATAAAATGCCCAGAAGTAAAATATAAGTGTATAAAGCTTGAAATATTTAGAACGAAAACATCAGAAGATCCAATGTAATGTTTTATAAGACACAATAGTACCAGTTACTAGTATTCTCTGCCAAGAAGGCATAACTCTGAAGTTTAAGATTTCAGAAGCGGGGCTGGCACAGTGACATAGCATATTAAGCCTCTGCCTGTAACACTATAACAATATGCCAAATGGGTGCCTGTCAAGAGTCCTAGCTGCTCCACTTCTGATCCAGCTCCCTGCTAATATGCCTCAGAAAGCAGCAGCAGAGGAACCAAGCCCTTGGACCCCGGCACTCACATGGGAGACCCAGAGGAAGCTCCTGCCTCCTGGATTTGAACAACCTTAGCCCCTGTCATTGTGGTCATTTGGGGAATGAAACAGCAGATGAAAGGTCCCCCTCCCCTGCACCTCGCTGTGTCTATCCTCAGCTCTGTAACTCTGCATTTTGAATTAAAAAAAAAAAAATCTTTAAAAAAATTGTAAAAGTCAAACTGTTTTGAGTTACAGAGCTGCACTACTGCTTATGATGTTGGTCCTAGCAAAGAAACGGAAGTGCAAGTCAACAGCACAGGAAGTAAAGAAAAAGGAAGCAATGTCTCAAGATGATCCTACTAGAGACATGGACTTCTCCTAGGCAAATGGGGGAGTGACTACCTAATTCCCATAAACGTCCTATGCTCAGTTTAATTTGACTTTTCCTTTGGAGGCAAGATTTTTTAAGTAAAATCTTACCCTGATACATATTAATTGTATTTATTTATGAAGTACAATATAACATTTCAATAGACATATATAACACGTCATTTTGACCTGAATCTGGCCTTATTATAATGGTTATTGCTCTCTTTGGGGACCACAGTGGTTCCCCAGTTGCCCATTTTAGATACCAAGACTATCCAGCTACACTGCTCCGTATCAAGGAGTAACCTGGAGGAGCTATAAAAATGGCAAAAACGTATTTTGAATTTCATTAGACTGTGTCTAAAGGACAAGTGCAATGGTGCAGCATGTTAAGGCTGCTTGCAACACATACCTACATCTCCTATGAGAGTGCTGGCTCAAGTCCAGGCTCGGCTGTCTCCCATTCAGCCTCCTGCTAATGCGCCTTGGAAGGGAGTGGAGGACAGTCCAAGCACTTTGGACCACCTACATTAGAGACCCAGATGAAATTCCTGGCTCCTGGATTCAGCCCGGTCCAGTCTGCCTAATGTGGGGCATTTAGACCTTCCAGCAAACAAAGGAGCTCTCTTTCTTTGCCTATCAGTGTCTTTTAAATAAATAAATAAATCTTTAAAAAGTAAACAGCACTCTATAATTCTCAACCTGCTTTTTTTATGTTTCAGATAAAGAAGAAAACAACAAGGAGAAATAATAGATTTAAAACATCCAGCTAAGGTAGCAAACATTTTAATACTGATGTTGAAGAATAAAAAATCTCACTATAAACAAATGTCTTCTGTCTCCTGTCATATTCTCCAGTAGGTCACCAGTACTTTCCTTAAGCTAACATGTCTCTTTGTAAAAGCAATCCCTGCCCTAAACCAACACTCTTCATGTGCATGTCTTGTTAGTGGCTGATGACAACACTGAGCAACAGACTCCAATCAAGTAAATACACTTGGCTCTAACATTTCACTGCACTAATAAGGCAGAATTGGGATGTGTTGAGAAAATGCTTCATATTTTCATGTCTTTTTATTTTACAGGTATCTGTCTACATGAACACAAATGGAAAAACAAATTTCTCCTACAACTAGTAGGACTGACAAACAGAACATTTCAATGCAACGCAACTATCAAAAAGTTGTCTTAACAAGTCACCAGAATAAGCTGTCAAAAAAAGTGAGTTAACGGTTATTTGAAGGAATCTGGCAAACAAAGCTAACAATAATTTAGTTCCAAATGAATTAAATTCTCCGAAATTGTGTTTAAGTCAGATAAAACCATATTTTTCTCTGATTTTTCTAAAAGCTATAGTTTAACAAAAATTACTTCTCATAAAGTTCCAATCTATCAATTTCTACAGTGACACACAAAGGCTTAACTAGTCAATCTGCGAGCGGGACTATGAACATCAATAAGCACTGCAGTCAGTCTCTATGAAAACGCTACTCACTCCCAAGTGGGTTCCTACCCCCACCTACCAAGAAAAGTAATTTATAGTACAACATAACTTCAAATAAACATGCAGGGGGGCAGGCACTTTTGAGCCTCTAAATGATAAGTTAAATAAATGTTTCACATCTCCACATGCAAATCTATTATTTCAAATTGATACAAGTGTCTGTTGGGTTTATATTATTAAATGTTGAAATGAAAAGTTTTATCTTGACTATCAGAGAACAACCAAAAAATAAGAACCAAGTGATCTATTTCTAACACAATAATAGTAATAACAATAGAGAATAAAAAAGTGCCAGTCAAGGGGCTTATGGTATGGCAGAGCATGTAAAGCCAGTGCCTGCGATGGGGGGTGTCCAACACGGATGCCGTTCCACTTCTGATCCAGCTCCCTGATAATGATCTGGGAAAAGCAGCAGAAGATGGCCATGTGTTTGGATTCCTGCCACCTGCGTGGAAAACCTGGATAAAGCTCCTGCTTTTGGCCTGGCCCAGTTTGGGCTGTACCTCTCTCTGTAAGTCTGATCCTCAAATAAATAAATAAATCTTTTAGAAATGAAACAAATCATAGAACACTAATACATCAAGCAAACAATAGACTTGCTCCTGAATTTGCACTAGAGAATACTGAGACTTGAGTGTTTCAAATGACTCCTAATTCAGACTCTCACTGCCACCTTATTCAGAGAACTGCAGTTACCTCCATGTCAATGAATTTTACAATAAATGCTCAGACTAAAACCAGTGATGCCAAATGCAAGTTATATGACATTTACAAAACAGCAACAAGCTAGGGGATCAGAGTGGCTGTATAAACGTATAAAAACTAGATAAAACAGCACCTAAATATACATGTATGTACAAATGAACAGAGACCTATGTTGTGAGGTCACTTAGGAATTAACCATTGTTCAAATTTGCACTCTTAGGAAGGATAAATGTCTTAGATAATCACTCCACAGATGAACTAAAATCAGAAAGATTTTACTGTGGTTTTTAAGCCTTGTATTGATAGTTGGCATCAACAAAGAAAAAGGTTCAAAACCAAACTGTTAAAACCATCTTTCCCATTTGTTTCTTAATGCACACATTAATACAATAATAATAATAATAATAATGATAAATTATACCTGAAACTGAACTCTTGGGCACTGAATCAGAGACAAATTAGTACCAATCTTCCTTACGATACTTCGAGATGAACCATAGGGCTTCCCAGACCAAAGTACCTGTAGAAGTGGGCAAAACCAACAGTTTAATTACAAGACTTACACTTAATACAAAGTACTGGACAAATACAAAGCAATGGCATGCTAGTATTAATTATGGGATCAGAATGCTGTAATTATTATGGGAAATATTCTAGTAGTTCTCAATTCAAAATTATAGAATATCTAAGTAGACAGCCAGCTATTCAGCAATAAAATTTAAAGTAAGACATCATATAAAAATATACAAGAATATTTAAATATTTAAAACTGTATCTGCAACAAAGAATACTTACAATCGGTTTATAAAAGATGCTAAAAGAAATAACACTTTGCCTCTTTTCTTGTTCTTTTAGTTTTAATGCGTATAATTTGTGAAAATAAAAATAAATAAATCTAGCTGCTTTTACTATAATGGACTTCTCGAAACAAATCCAACTGAATTTCAACTTCAGAACACCAAGTTCAGGTCACACAGTGGCAATGCGGCGCCTGCTGTCTCAGAGGGCCTGGCTGGGCTTGAGCGAGGCTCAAATGCAGTCACCAAGCACTGCCTCCCTTTGCGGTGCCTTGTGCGCCTTCAGGAAAGGCACCCTCTCCTACTCTGCGCAAAGCTGCCCAAGAGGCTGGTGGGGGTCCTAATGAGCAGACTTTCTCAAACTCATAACACATAAGATATCATGCTTAAAAAAAAAAAAACTCCCGAAACCAAAAGTAAAACAACACTTGCAGATTGTTAAGGCATTACAAATTGTACCTTGAAATTTCTCCCCAAGAATATGATCTTCACTTAAAGAGAAAAACTATCCATTTGTTTTGAGTGCTACACTTGAAAAAGCCTGGACAGAAGAGGTAAAGAGAGGTAGCATTCTATTAAAAGCTATTTTTAAAGGTAAAAAATAAAAGTGACTATCAAAGTAAATTCATCAAATTTTACCACTTATATCCTAAAGAATACATAAACAATATTAAGGTGAGTACTGCATCAGCGCAATGGACATAGTTACCTTTGTACATTCACTCCACATTCACTCTAAATAATTTTTTTAAAGATTTATTATAATTTTTATTGGAAAGGCACATATACAGAGAGAAGGAGATACAAAAGGAGGGCCTGGCGGCATGGCCTAGCGGCTGAAGTCCTTGCTTTCAACGCCCCAGGATCCCATATGGGCGCCGGTTCTAATCCTGGCGGCTCTACTTCCCATCCAGCTCCCTGCTTGTGGCCTGGGAAAGCAGTCGAGGATGGCCCAAGGCTTTGGGACCTGCACTCGCGTGGGAGACCTGGAAGAGGTTCCTGGTTCCTGGCTTCGGATCGGCGCAGCCATTGCGGTCACTTGGGGAGTGAATCATTAGACGGAAGATCTTCCTTTCTGTCTCTCCTCCTCTCTGTATATCTGACTTTCCAATAAATAAATCTTTTAAAAAAAGAGAGAGAGATACAAAAGGAAAGATCTTCCATCTGCTGGTACACTCCCCAAATGGTTGCAATGGTCAGTGTTAAGCCAATTCAAAGTCAGCAGCCAGGAGCTTCTTTCAGATCTCCCACATGGGTGCAGAGTACAAAGGCTTTGGGCCATCCTCTGCAGGGCCCAAGTCACTCTAGTTTAAATAAAATCATTCTAATATAAATAGTATCATCAAGTAACTGGTCATTGTCAACAACATGGTTGTGAAATGTGACCAAAACAAGACCGATTAGACCATTTTCTCAGAGCCTTAGCAAACAAATGCACTTAGGGACAACATTTGAGCCACAGTGGCATGTAAAAACACCTCAAGTCCTTGCCTCAGATTTATATAATTGAACATTTGTTCAAGGTGTCACTGCGTCTTACCGAATTCTATAATCTATGCTGGCTTTGATAAGCAACAAACATGCCAACTCTGTTTCCAAACATCATTTAAGAGGATGCTACAGGCTGGAAAACGACTCAATAGTAAGACAGGAAGGGATCCACATAAGATGTGAATATCACACAAAGAATTTAAGAGGCAAACTTACTCTGAAGCTTCGAGCAAAATATACACACCAAATATCAGAAAATTATGTATCACACATATATGTGAAAATGAAGAGACCAAAAAATAACTAGAGAAAAAAAGCAGGCATTCAATCTGCATTGTCAACAAAAAGAGCTTGTAATTCAAAACAATTTTAAGCAAACTCTTTCACATAACCTTTTTAACATAAATACACAGTGTGACCGTCATTACATCAGTCTTCCTTCACTCTTCTACTTAGTGCCATGAAGTAGATAAGGAAAATTGTGTGCATCACAGGTGACAATCACGCAGCCTGACGTGAACCTTCCCCCGTTCCAGCACGTAAAGTTCTTACGGAAACAAAAAGAACAAGAAGCTCACAAAGAAAAATTAGAAAGGATTTGTCAAGGTGGTGAACTAATGTTTCTGCCAGCTTTGAGCACGTCTCACTATGCATGCTGCAGGGCTAATTTTCAACTATTATCTTTCCATCTGTTTAATATCAGAAGGGATGAATACAAGGTGCCTCCTACACAAGAAGTAGCCAACAATTCAGCATTTAATTAAAAGGATAAGCAGGCTATTGAGGCTTCTCCTACAAATCTAAAGGAAGAAAAAGAACAGATTGCTTTATGTGATTATTTTTTTTTCTGAGCATACGCAGTAGACTAACATAAGCTTGTTTTCCTGTTACTTGTGAAATGCATACTACTTAAACCAAGAAATACGAAACAAGGGCCTGTGTAAGCGAACAACAGAATATTTATAACAACCATAACCTTTATTGGATGGTAGGGAAAAGTGTGGGGAAAGAGCAGCTAACTTCCAGGAACTCTAAAAGTAGGTCTTCCCAGCTTTTCTCCTATTTTTTCTATCCAGCCCTCAGGGAGGGGGAGAAGTTGTAAGCGGCTGTGATGAAACGGTGAGCAGATGGTGCTGAAAAGTCACCATCTGTGCAATGGCAGGCTGCATGACCCAAGTGCGTCTCCTTCCCTAACTTGGGACTGAACCCTGTCTTGTCAATACATTGATTTGGAAAAGGGAAGACTTCCTCTAAAGATAAACTGTTATTAATATTGCTTGGAAAGTAAGAAAAAAGGCAGGGATAAAACTGTCATTACTAGATAATGTGGCTTCAGTGAGAGATAAGACAGTTCAACAGCTTTAAGACATAACAGAAAAATCAAGTTTTATCTATAAGAAACTTTCTCCACAATCTACTCATCAGCCTCTCTGTGTGTTGTATACGCGGTGTCTAGTAGTGACAGTCCATAACATTTTACAACAGTGTTTGAAAGTGATGACAGCGAAGAGGAGGATGACAACGGGAAGGCAATTCGTTCTTGTTTAACATCGTGAAAGGCTATTGTGGAAGGTGTTGACGGGTGAGGCTGCAGTCTGAGGCTGTCATCTGTCTCCTCCGTCATGGCTACACTCGTTTTATGCGGAAATCACTTGGTGTATATTCATCTCTATTAATATTTGAGAGGAACTATTTTTGCAGGAAAAACTACAACTTCAATTCTAAGTAAATGTGTTTTTCTTAAGAAAAATTATATTTGTGCATGAGTTTACATATCTAACATTACATGCAAGTAGGTATATAACATTTTTCTAAGAAGGCCTATAGCATTAACAAATTTTCAAGGACCTAACAAAGTACAAATTCTTCCCAATGAAAAATAAGTAAATCTTAAAAAAAAAAAAAGCTAAACAAATAAACAAGCTACATGAATTCTATACCTTGCCTTGCCATCAGTCAGATTAGCCTAACATGTATATAAATATATTTTATTTCTTGTGACTCCCTTATCATTCAGAATACACACACACACACACACATATTTGGAGGAAGTGGTATTGGATATTAGAAAATGAATTTCTAATAACAATTTAAACATTCCTAATTGGGGGCTGGCACGGTGACATAGCAAGTTAATCCTTGGCCTGAAGTGTTGGCCTCCCATATAATTAGCAGTTCAAGTCCAGGCTGCTCTACTTCTGATCCGGCTCCCTGCTCATCAACTTGGCAAGCAGCAGCAGCTGGCGTAAGAGGTTGGCTTCTGCAACCATATGGGAAACCTGGAAGAGGCTACTGCTACTCACTTCAACAGCACAGATACTGAAAGAAGCTCTTGCGGAGTAAATCAGCAGATGAAGATCTGTCTCTGTGTGTCTCTGTAGCTCTGGCTTTCAAGTCAAAATAAAATAAACCTTTTGAAATATAAAAAATAAAAATCCCTAACTGAAGCCTAAGACTGCTCCCAGTTATCTTCTTATTCCTACTCTGAGCACCATTCACATTCCTCCTCTAAAGCACAAAGAGAAAGCAAGGCTCTAACTCCTAAGATTACTATGCTGTTAATACAAATGAGGATTTGCTATACTTTTTACCAACATTAAATACTGAGATTAATCAAAATCACATTAGCTTCACAATTCTTACTTACTCTAGTTAAAAAAATTTTTTTTTTTTACTGGGAGATAGAAATCTAATTAATAGATTGAGAAAAAATAATGTGTGTATGGTTTTAAACCAAAACAAAGGTTGAGGCAAAATGGAAGACAGCCAAGTCAAAACCTAAGGCCGGCAGCAAGGCCCTGACTTGGAGAGCAGGTTCTGCCAGCGCACTGCCTTGGTCAGGCCAGACAAACCACTGACCACTCCGTGCTTCTCTTTCCTTAACTGTGAAATGGTACTACATTCATTTTATATGCCTTGAAACAACAAATGAGTAAAGGTATTATTGATCACAGATCTTTAATAACAGTTACAGTAACTCTCCGCTTACATTATAATAGGCAGAATATAAGAGAAAAAAGAAGAATTTGGGAATCAGAACTGTATCCAAATTCTCTCGACCACAGTCAGAAAACACTGATTGAGGCAGTTAACACTCCAAACCACAAGAGGACTGTTCAAATCTAAGTAAACACTGAGCACAACGCAAGGGATGCCCACTATAACATCTAATCATCATTGGTTATCTTTATGACAAAAACAAAATCCTGATCCAAACATTTGCACCTTTTTTTTCTCCACGCTAAGCTAATTTGACGTACTTGATGCCAGGGTATAGAATTCATGTGGCTTGTTCATTTGTTTAGCTTTAAAAAAAAAAGATTAATTTATTTTTCATTGGAAAGTCAGATATACAAAGAGGAGGAGATACAGAGAGGAAACTCTTCCATCCACTGATTCACTCCCCAACTGGCTACCAATGGCTGGTGCTGAGCTGAGCTGATTTGAACCCAGGAGCCAGGGGCCTCTTCTGGGTGTAGGATCTCCCCTACAGATGCAGGATCCCAAGGCTCTAGGCTATCCTCAACTGCTTTCCCGGCAAAAAGCAGGGAGCTGGATGGGAAGCAGGGATGCCAGGATTAGAACCAGTACCTATATGGGATCCCGGCGCATGCAAGGTGAGGACTTTAGCCACTAGGCTATCACACTGGGCCCATTACTTACCTTTTAACCAGCTGTGTGACTCACCATAATATATGCAACATGCAACATGCATAGTTCTACAGGAGCTATTGTTGTGGCACAGCAAGATAGGCTGCCACCTGCGGTGTCAGTACCCCGTATGTGGACCATTTGCTTGGGACCCCTGCACACATGTGGAGATCCAAACAGTAGATCCTGGCTCTGGCCTGGCTCAGCCTGGGCCAGATAAAAAAAAATAGTTCTACAACACTCAGGGTTGCCAAGTCTAATCAAACATTTTGCTGAATTATTTCTCTATATATGTGAACTACCTCCTCACAAGTGCACTGCCTTTAAATGATGATGTGAACACTGCTTTGTTTTCAATATAAATATAAAAATCACTCCTTTCATTAGGATTCTAGGAAAAGACACACTTCTACATGTAATATTAAGCAAATGGAACAGTATATAAATACACTGAATTTAAAATGCTGATTATGTACTCAAATAGATGTATTTCATTTCTTCAGAAGCAAACCTAGAAATAAATGTCTGAATTTAAATATGAATTTTAAGTACTCACCGATTGCATGCTTACTCCAGCTTGCTGAAGAACCATCCTAATCAGACGCTTAATCCAGCCAAGCATTTAGATGGCAAAGTCTCCCCAAATTTGCATTTCAAGTATTTCAGGCATACATAGCAGCACATGGTCCATAAAGCACACTAAAATTTTAAAATGCAAATATTAAAATAAAATTATTACTCAAAATCTTCCCAAACATGTCTCACAAAGTAAGCCTAAAACATGTTCAAGCTTAGTGAATAAATTAAGAAAAAGTACAAGCTGCTTGTGATCAGCTTGCCTGATCAAATAAGATTTTTTTAAGTATTTTTCCATACAAGGTTTAGTCGGATGCAACAAACACATACTATAGCTGATATAAGTAGAACAGACTTATGAAAAGACACCTGCTAAACAATAATCTTCAGAAAACCTGACAGACAGGATACAGCCGAAACTACTGAACTGGTCCTGAAGACACCTGCTGTGGCCACAGGGGACACATCAGAGTACACACGGTCCCCCTGTTCTGTCACCAGCTCCTGAGTTGCTGCCTGTACTGGAGCATCTGCTTGGCCAATCACAGCTTTTACGTACTAGTACAAGAAAGGCTGGGAGTTCCCCACTAACCTAACTGGGAAAGCAGCAGAGCATGGCCCTAGGAGCTGGGCTCCTCACACCCACGTGGGAGACCCAGGTGGAATTGTACGGCCCCACCTCTGGCCTGGCCCAGCTCTTGTAGCCATTTTGCAGGGTGAAACAACAAATGGAAGATCTCTTTGTGTGTCTTTGTTTCACTCTGTCTTTTCACTCTGTCTTAAACAAATCCTTACAAAAAAAAAAAAAAGTTGAGGGAGCAGCAGCTAGGCTGGAAAAGCAAGTATCTGGCTGAACAAAGAGGTTCTGTTTTCCATCAAAGATCATAAAGAAATAAATTCCAGAAGCATGGAATAGGAATCCAGATGCGAGGTTGAAATTACATGAAAAATCTTATGCTCACTGGCAACATAATCCATGTAACCCATCTCACCCTAATATTCTGACAAAACCAAAATAAGGGGTTGGCACTATGGCATAGTAAATTAAGCCCCTACCTGTGATGCCAGCATCTCATTTGGCGCTGGTTCAATCTAGCTCCCTGCCAACATATCTGGGACAGAAGTGGACAATGACCCAGATGCCTGGGCCTCACACGCACACCGAAGACCAAGAGGCTGCTGGCTCCTGGTTTCAGCCTGGCCCAGTCCTCGGCACTGTGGCATTTAGGGAGTGAATCAATGGATGCAAGATTTCTCTGTCTCTCCTCTGTAACTCTGCCTTTCAAATAAAAAATAAATCTCTAAGAAAATAAAACTAAATTAACTTGAATAGCAAAGATGAGTTCACTAATAGTGTTGGTTTCCAATGAGGAAGGGAGTTTGCACCAGAATATAAATCAAAGTGTTATTTCCTTAATAAGGAAATCTCAATTAAGAAAAAAAAATTGCTGAACACTGATGTGCACTTTGTGATATAGTTGCTCTACATTTTGATATAAGCTCACACAGGACCAAAAGTAGTTTGTGGTCTACAATTTGAGAAGAACTTGACAATTACAAAGATTATAGAAAAGAAAGTAGCCACAAAAATGTGAAACACTGGGTGAATAGAAGAGCGGGGCCTTAATGACAGAGTAGAAAAGAAAATGACAAAACTGGTAAAATAAACAGCAATGAGAGAACCGTGAAGACCGGAATATTCACGAGAAGTGAACTTACCTGAGAATCTGAGCTAAAAACTTATACTGGAACAAAAGAACCAAAGAACAGGGATAAAACTAGCAGATTGGGTAGGACCATTAACTTAGAAAGTTTTAATTCACCAACTTTTGAAAAATTGTAAAAGTAGCACACACATTTTAATATGGTTTACATCTTTTTCTTTTTCCTTTTTGAAAGGTAGCAAGGAAGGGAAAGAAACAAAAAGAAACAAAGAAAGAGCTATAGAGACAGAAAATATCTCCTACCTACCATTGGTTTACTCCCCACATATCTACTGACCAGGGCAGGGCCATGCCTGATCGGCAGCCAGGAACTTATTCCAGGACTGCATATGGGTGAAAGCGACCCAACTACTAGGGACATCAAGTCTGCCTCCTGGAGTGGGCATTTCAGGGAGCCAGAATTGGCAGTAGAGCTTAGAGAGGCATCCAACCACCAGGTCAAGCCCTGCTCTCAGAGTGTGTGTGTGTGTGTGTGTGGGCGCTGCACCAGTAAGAGACCATAATTAAAAACGGCCAACCACCACTAGGCTACACAGTAATATCAAGCACTGACTTCACCGAACATTCACTGTGTGTCAGGCACTATGAGCATTATATTTTGCTGTATTCATAATTTTATCTTGTCATTAGATATAAAATCAATTCAATTGTCACAATTACTTGCAGGGGGCAAATTGAAGCTTAGTTAAATGACTTGACTAAAGGTAACAAGAGTCCAAGCAGCAAAGTTAGGATCAAACTAGTTAGATGCAGGCCCAGCACAGTAGCCTAGTGGCTAAAATCCTTGCATTGCATGTGCTAGGATCCCATACGGGTGCTGGTTCATGTCCTGCCTGCTCCGCTTCCCATCCAGCTCTCTGCTTGTGACCTAGGAAAGCAGCTGAGGATGGCCCAAAGCCTTGGGACCCTGCAATCGCATAGGAGACCTGGAAGAGGCTCCTGGCTCCTGGCTTTGGATCAACCCTCCGCTCCAGATGTTGTGGCTACTTAGGGAGTGAACCAGCAGACAAAAGATCTTTCTCTCTGTCTCTCCTCCACTTTGTAAACCTGATTTTCTAATCAAAATAAATAAAACTGAAAAAAATCTAATTTTTTAAAAAACTAGTTACTTAGCTAAGAATAAAGTCTGTCCAATCCACTGTACCATTCTATTCCCACAAAAGAACTAGTGATTGGAGGACCTATCTGAAAATTCGCTTGTTTTTCATTTTTCCTTATGACCCTACCCAACTTTCCATGTTTACATTATCAAAGCAAAGTGTTAAGGGTTTGAATTTGAATTCTATCCACATGTCACCTACCAGTTAGTGAGCACAAGTGAGTTAATTACCTTCAGATAGTAACAGTATCTGAAGAGTTGTCAGAACTGACAAATACAACATATGCCATATTAGTAAAGTCCTGAAAATAAAAAGTGGTTGATATTAGCTGGAATGGACAAGAGATGGAGGTAAGACATTGACAGAATAAAAATTCATCAGACTTGGTGAAGTGCCTCGTTGCAACATTTCAAGCAGAGATGCTGGCTGACGCAGATGATGGCTGACAGAGGTAAAGCTCTTTCAAGAGGCGAACATGACAAATGTATAGCTATGTGAAAACACAGACTGCTTAGCACCAGGAGGAATACATGTGTGTATTTATTGACTGCCCATGACTGGATTTTGGTTACAGATAATTTAATGTTATCACAAGCTATTATTGACTGTATAAATGATTTCTTTCTCTGTAACTCACTGGGATTAAAACAAAAACAAAGAGCAAAAATGACATGTGCTCTTTTGTGCCTAATTTCTATCACTCAGCATTGCCTGTAACATTCATTTATGTTGTTTATGACCTATTTGTTTTCTGTTGCTGTCTAGTATTTCATTGTGCGGTCATAGCACACGTTACTTACTCATTTTACAGTTTATTTCTTTTCAAATTTTTGCTATGGCAAATAAATGTACTGTCTTACATATGGTTTAGCAAGATACACATAGGCACTAATTTCTTTTGATGACTGAGTATACAGATCATAGGCCATATACATATACACACTTATATTTATATATTACACTTACATGATGCCAGATCATAAGCCATACATATACATGCATGCTTATTATACACTATATATGAATATAACTCTAAAGTCTTTATTTAAAGCAGAGATACACAGCAAGAGAGGGAGAGACGACAGAGATTTTCCATTTCCTGGCTCATTCCCAAAATGGCTCCAACAGTCAGCGTTGGGGCCATCCAAGCCAGGAGCCAGTTCAGGGGCTTCTTCCAGTTTTCCCTTGCAGGTGCAGACGCCCAAGAATTTGACTACCTTCTGTTGCTTTCCCAGACACATTAGCAGGAAGCTGGCCTGGAAAAGGGACAGCTGGGTCGCAGATCAATGCTAATATGAACTGCTGGTGACACTACAGGGGGCAACTTCACTCACCATTCAACATTGTTGTTAACAACTTCCCAGCATGTTTCTAAGGTTGTTGTCCCAATGATGTTCTCAAAAGCAAATAAGGGATCCCTAGGTGCTCTACAACACTGTCAGTACTTGGTATTACACTTTTTTATCTTAGCAACTCTGTTTCTTTACATGGTTCTGGGGTATAATATCTTCTCTTAGGGATGGGTGCTATGGCATAAGAATAAAACTGCTGCCTGTAACGCCAGCAATGCCTGTGATGGGCGCCAGTTTGTGTCTGGGCTGCTCCACTTCTATATAGCCCCCTGCTAACGGCCTCAGAAAACAGAAACGGCCCAAATGTTTGGGTCCTGCGACCAATATGGGAGACCCGCAAGAAGTTTCTGGCTCCTGGTTTCAACCTGGCTGTTGTGGACATCCTAAAGAGTGAACCAACGGTAGAAATCTCTCTACCCCTCGGTTCCCCGCCCACAGTCCATAGCTAACTTAAAAATCAATTTTAAAAATCTTCTTATGTGAACTATCCAATTTTCTGTCTCTTTCCCTTTTTTATATAGATGACATTTTTTAAGAGCAGTTAAGTCCACAGCAAAATTCTGTGGAAGGCACAGAGATTTCCTTTATATTTCATACCATACCAGAGAGGTATATTTCATTGTACCTACAAAATATACTATCAATGTCCACAGTTTCCATTAGGGGTTCCTCTCCTTCCCTACAAGATTGATTTGCTAATTAAGTAGTTGAGAGGCAGAGCCAGAAAGGATGAGGAGTAAGGAGATCTATCTTCCATCTACTGATTCACTCCCCAGAGGGGAGCAATAGCCAGGGTTAGGCCAGACTGAAACCAGAAGCTAGGAACTCTGGCTCCCACATGGGTGACAGGGGCCCCTGCACCCAGGCACATTAGTAGGAAGCAGGATAAAGAGCAGAGCAGCCGCGATGTGAACAAGCACTCCATGGGATGCAGTCATTACAAAGAG